GGCTTTTGGTTCCCACACTCATTTACATCTCTGATTCCTTTCAAAATCTGGTCCTTGCAGCTTTTGCTGTTCTTGTTTACACAGATGCAYTGAAAAACTGATTGTTACCCAACAGTTTTCTGTAACCAAGGAAGGGGTTTGGTCCAAGTCCAGAGAAAGATAYACAGGAAAGGATCACAAGTGAGGAAATGACTGTGTCAAGTTGCACATGAACAGTGAGAAGGTAGAATGCGTATGACAGACAGCTGAGTTAAAAGAATATGTAAATGAAAGGAGAGGCAATTGAGTTGAAACTTGCAATTGCATTATCCTTACTGGTGTTGGATAGTGCCTGACTCCACAATAAATCCTGTACACCACTGCTCAAGATTTAGGAAAACATAAGAGTTCTTAACTTCCTTCCTRTTTAACAGCATTATCCAGTGTCTTTCACATCACTGTGAACCTGACTGCCAAATCTGACAAGGCTTGGGCAGCACTGAGACCCAATGAGTTTTTAATTTCATATATTGATGTTTGTGGTGCCACAAGGGAAGTGTCTGGTGTGAACCAGCACATCTATCCTGAGATGAGTGACGCAAAAGGAAAGCAGTCAGACAAAAACGTATTTGTTGATGGAAGTTATCAAAACACCGTTCATTTTAGTGAAGGTTGAAAAACARCTTTGTCCAGGTAGGAGATTTTACAAATGTGTCATGCTGTCGCTAAGATCACACCTGTAGCATCATGCACCAAGATCATGCTCTTAGCTTCAGAAACCAGACTCCAAAGGAAGACTGTACCATTAAAGGAGATACAGGAGCAGGAATGAATTTAGCCAGTTTCATCTAGAGAAATACTTAATGGCAGGATGATCATCTTAAGGGTCATTTAATGCTGGAAAAAGGAAATGGCACATAACACAAGTAGTAACACAAAGAACAATGAATTCAAYTTAATAAAGGGCAAATTCAAATTGGAAATGAGGCTAAACTTTTAGATGGTTAGGGGCAGGCAGAAAGMGAAATCGTTTGCTTAATGAAGTAGTTATGACAAACTAGGTAGAAATACTCTGTTTTCTGAAATCAACGAGTGTGCAGTTCAGTCTTTCCTGCCTGATACAGTGGGCTCAGCAGCAGAGTCCAGTGGTGTTTAGTCAGCCTTGTCCATCATGACCATTAGCTGCATTAATAATCGCTGTTTGAATAAAGGCACTGCAGTACCATTGGTACGTGTGGAGAATCCTTCTTGTTTCTCTAGGCACTGAAGAAAGAAATTGGATATTTTGTGCCTTCACAATATGAAACAAAAAGTTAGCTGTGCTGTGATTGTGGAAGGTGAGATTTATGTGAGACCACATGGAGATTAACAGCCTCATGACTTTTGTGCCTGATGAGAACTGTATTATAGAAGGGCTGGGTGGCCCTCTTCCTTGGGTTATGGGGAGTGTGACTCTTCACTGTATTGTGGAGACAGCGGGGTACCCCAGAGGTACCTGCTGAAAATCCTACTCTTGTATTCTGCTCCTACTGTTTCCTTGAAGCAGAGCTGACCCCATGGCTGTTGTAACACAAAGGATGATCTTAATTTCTCACCTGGAGGGCTTGCTGCTCCAAATGGGCTCTTGGGCTCCTGCCTGCTTACAGAACTTTCTAGTAGCATGTCTGAAAACAGCCTTGTATCTGTGTTGCCAGGAAGGCTTTATGAAAAAGAGACCGCAATCAAATACAGGCATAACCTTACATCTGAGTAAAAGTGAACCAAATGTATTTCCAGTGCAAATTTACTGGAAGTGCAAGAACTGATGCTGATATTTAAATCAGTGATTCTGATATAAGGAAGACAAATAATTAATGAAACTGTTTATCTCTTTGTAGCACAGATATACAATTGATAATTTTTGCTTTATTTTTAAATATTGATAGGTGTAAAGTACCTAATTGATGAGGTTGCMTAGGGATCCCAGCTAACAGTAAGTGATTGCCAGCTGATGAGTTTTGCAATGTCTGAAAATGAAATGGTAACATTCAGTGCATGGAAGTGGCTCATATTGTTCAAAACAGCTGATGATTACTGTGTTTAAGTAACAGAATTCTCATAAGGATTTGAGCTGCTCAGAATTTAATGCAATTTTTCCAGGACCTTGATAATCATCAGGAAATGAATGTAAAACTGTGATCTCATGTCATTTGGAAAATTAATGGAATAATCTGATGGGCAGRGCTTGCTAGGTATCTAACTGTATGCTGGCAAATGAAAGTCTTTAGGCATTGGTCTCTGTCAACAGCATTGGAAGTGGAGAAGACTGTAGATTTTATTCTGTAATTATCTGGAATGAAAATGGGAGGTGTCCTAAAGAGAAATAGTGTTGCTTTTAGCAAGGAAAATAGGTCAGCCTAAATACTAGCACTGGTTGTTACATGCTACTATGGATGTGTGTGTTGGAGAGCTCGCTGTAAGATTAATTTATTCCTGTAAAAATATTGCTTTATAGAAATCTTCTTTGAGCTTTSAGATTTTCATTGGAGAAGTGGAAAATTAGCAGTTTCCAGCAACCAGAAAATTTCAGAGTGAAACCTGGTTACTGGTCAAGTTTCTTTCCCCAGTGCAAACACATAAACACTTGCAGGAAATCATCTTTACTGGTGTGGACATTATTTCTACCACAGTACAAATAAGTCCATTTTTGCAGTCTTACCCATCTCTTGGTTCTGCAGCTTCCCTTACTGGATATATAAGCCACTTGAGTTCCAAACTCCTTACTCCAGTTGTGCCATTCTAAGTTTTTGCTTCTAGGTTTCTGTTTCAGTCCTAAATTTGTATGATGCTTGGAGGGCTTGCCATCACAGTTGCTTTCAGATCTTCTCTGCTCTTTGGTGAAAATTAGTAACAACGCATTGGTGATGGTTCAGTGAAAGCAATGGCAGCAGTTACACTGGCAGTAAATGTCAGATAAAGAAGCTGTAAAGGCTGAGKAAAGTAAATGCAAATTATCAAGAATCAGAGCAAGAGATTTTGCTGCAGTAACCCAGTCTTTTTGGCTGGGGCTAGTCACAGATTTAATCCACCCCTCATATGAGTTGTTGAAGCAGTTGAATAATAACGTATGAAAGTTATACTGGTAGTGTTCCAGGACCATAGGAAAGGTTAACACTCCCAGGGTGTTTTGTCAGAATATGTTTTGAACCTATATACCACATGACCAAATTTCAGCTAATATGTACCACGTACTGGAYTGTGTAACAGTTACGGTGTAACTGATTTAAGCTTTAGTCTTTTCTGCTGTGACATTGAGATGCTCCTTCGGGTGCAAATGCCAGGTGGTCTTCCCCTAGAAGGTCTCATCTTTATCCCTCTGTGAAATGGGCAGTGCTTTTAGGAATGAGGGATGTCTTTCCTGTGTTGTCAAACTAAGGACTTATTTAAATATCTTCCCTCCTTTAAGTAGGTGTCAGTCACATTTTTTTGGTTAGATACCRTAGACTAAATCCTGTGTCTGCTCTGGGTCTGTAGTTGAACAGAGTAGTCCGTCACCAGAGGAAAACAAATCTTTCTTTATAACCGTTTATAACTCTTCATTTTATCTCGCGTTGTCAGTGTCTGGCAGATTCTTCAGCCTTTGCGCCATTCCTCTTCAGCTCACTAACAGAGCYGTCATTAGCTCTGCATATAGTGGCAGGGGATTTTGTTACTTTTCTGAAGTTTCTTTCATTCTTTCTCGTGTTTTCTTTGGAATTTATTTTCTTTATAGGTGAAAAAGGATGGATTCTGCTCTGTTCTTAGCATTTGTAATTACTACAGGACTGCACTGACCTGAAGCGGTGCTGCAAATGTGYTTAACATTTCAGTTTGGAAAAGCATTTATAATGCTGGCATGTACATCTCATTTTGATAGGTTTACTTACACTGTTTAGAACAATCTGAAGAGATTTATAATTGCTTGTTTTGTAATACAGCCACAGAGAATTAAGTAAWGGCTTTATAAGTAATCTCTGTTTTCCTGTAGCCAAAGAAGCACTGTCATGTTTTCATATATCAACTTATTTAGGGTCAAAGTTTGACTTCTCTCTGAATTTGATAGGCATATATAAGTGCTGCATCTGAGTAGTTCACAGAGGGATTTGGCACTTTGATTTTTAAATGCAGTGCCAAAAGWGTGGAGACAACACTGTAGCTTGATTAGAATGGAGCCCATGCAATGACAGGAGGTATATTTTCAGCAAAAATTACTGTGAGAGGAGAGGATGACTTAGGAAACCAATTGCAATTAAAATTGTTGTAACTGAGTTGATACTGGAGACAGAAAACTGCTAGCTTTTGATATTTGCTAGCTAGGYGGAAGCTCAGAAAATACGTGTTTTCTGAGAACAGAGATATGGAGAAAAGATGGCTTATGTTTAAGGCTCTACGTGGGGACTCAGAAAATTGACTTCAGTTCCTTTCCTGGCTGGCTAACAGGATGCCTCTGTAGTCTTGGGGACAATTACAAAGTTTTCACCATATGTTTATGCTGTATCTAGTGATCTGCAGCTCTCATTTTAGTTGGGCTTCATGAAATTCTAGCCTACCAAGTAATATTTACTCACTTGTGTATACCAGAAAGTAAAAACAAATGGTCTTTGGAAAAATTAAACCGAGGCACGTGTACACTGACTAGGAATTCTGTATCCTGATCAGTGATGGATGAAAAGTAGACCCTTCAGAAATGATGACATATCAGACCCAATGCTCAACCCAAGCATGGGATCATTTAAATTGTTTCTAAAACTGCTGTGAGGAGGGAAAAGGAAGAAGGGGAGGTGGTACTTACCATGAAGTTTATTTGCTGTTTTCCCAAGATCTTTGTCACATAACTCAGGAAAGAGGGAGGATGTGAAATAGAGAGATTCTTCCTCAAAGAGGACTTTATAACATCATTATAGTATCAGGACTTTATAACATCATTACAGTATCAGCCAAATGCGGACGCACTTCTTTTTTAATGAGGGAAAAACATGCCTTTTTTTTTTTTTTTTAAATAGATAAATCATCCACAAACAAGCATATGAGAAAAATAGAAGGAAGGAGTCCAAAGAGGCATGCCAGAGAAGGAAGTTTGCAGAGTCCAAGGGATTCAGAGAAGACTGCAGTGGGACTGTCTCTGAGAGGGAGCGTTTACATCACCAATTCTTGACGAGTTTACCTTCTGGGACTCTGACCTTGGACTGCTGCTGGGACGTTTGTCTTGGACTTGTCCTCTGGGCTGGTGAGTTAGTGATGGAATGACACACGTCTCTGTTGTGCTGAAACATGATATTTTCAGATTGCTCAGTGTGAGGGGTTTTGGTCTCTGATCATTCTGTCTCCCGCTCCAGTGATGAGAGGATATGTCAAGTAGTTAGAGCACAAATCTGGGAGCTGGAARACTTGGCCACTGTTCCTGAGGCTGCCACAGCCTATTTGTGATTTTGGAAAAGGCAAGGAATGACAGACATTAGATGTAGCATTTTCCAGGGGCTCAATGACTTAACTCTGCTGTCATTAGACTCAGTGGGACTTTCTCCCTTGACATTGCTGGGAACCTTATATTTCAGACTGTGTATAAAGTAGTTAGGTTTCTCTAACCATCTGGTTATTAAAGAAGTGTGTGCCTGTTGCAGTGTAGRGAGTTGATTGAAATCACAGTTATCTAAAGGAATGGGTCACTACTGCAAGCCCTGGTTATACCCATTCAAATCCAAAATAGCGTTGGTGTGTTTTGCCAGAGTTCATTGTTACACAAGTACTTACTATTTCTCAGTTACTCAGGACAGGTAGATGTGATTAATATAAGCAGGGGAATGCTGGGTGGGAATTGATTCATTTGGTCCTAGAATATATCCCACAAAAATTCAACAGCATTTTCCACAGGAGCACTATAAGAAGGTACAATTTATAGTTTGTGCTCATTTTGTGCTGTCTGAAACTCACAAAAGTTTCCACTTGGGGAGGTTGTAGTTTCAGTTTGCATGATAGAAAGGCATTTTTTAATTCCTTATTGAAAATTAWTTTTTTATTTTGATAGAAATATAAAATGTTTCTGATTTGGTAGAATGATGAACCCAACCCAGAGTTTTCCAGAACAACCAGTCTGGTCCCATCATGTTGATTCATTTCCCTTTGCCCTGTCTGGCAAACACATATGGGTCCAGAAAACATTTTTCCAGGGGAAGTGTCAGTATCAGTCCAGCAGACAGCTCCCAGGCTGGGAGTCCTCTGAAAGAGAGGAGATATGAAGGAGGCTGCAGGAATCAATCAATCAGTCAATCAATCAAGTGGTGCCATTAGCAGAGAAYAGTCTGCAGAGACGTGTTCAGAAAGCCCCAGAAATCCCAGATGCACTGTTCCTTTGCYGGTTGCTATACTGAGCACAGATTTGGTCATCTCACAAGGGAGGATGGGAKCATATGGCCTAATTCTGCTGCTGGACAAAAATACACATCCAGAGGGACCGAGAGCCACAGTGCTTAGAGAAAAAAGGAATAGTCATGTGCTCCTTATGCTCCAGAGGCTTGCTCCAGCAAGTGTCTCCTGTATCCTGGGCAGTCTAGAGGCGGAGGAATCTTATTTTATTGAGAACTGTTTGACTGCATAGCAGGGATCCTAAAAGCCCTGTGAGTTKGATCTTAAAATTTGCTTGGACTTCCAGTACTTTGGTTCATGGCATGGCTGCTGCAAGCTTGGGGTCGCTGGCCTGTAAAAGCACTGGCCCTGTTGGCTGTTTCTCCTCTGTCCTGCAGTGTGAGCTGGCGGGGAGCCGAGCAGCCGACAGGACCGGCAACACAGGCTCGGCCTCTTCACATTTCTTCTTTGAAAGACCTGGCAAAACCRAAAGACTGGGTGTGTCAATGTTGACAGATCAAGCTTTAATGTCAGAAAAGAGTCATGTTGAAAATTTCCTGGGCAGAGATACTGACTGCATCCTGGGTCTGGCTWAGAAACAATGTGAAAGGTGAACTTGGCTCAGTGGGTTTTACTTCTTTGATCTTCCTTGCCCAGAGTGGTGCATTCTTCACTAGAATGGTCCGGCTGTACTCTTTGGAGGAAGAATAGGAATTTTCTTTAACTAAAGATGCTTGCAGTAATTTCCTGACTCCCCTTGAATTATTTTCATCCTCATATTCATGGGTTTAGTGTTAATGAAAATCATTAACTGTATGTTAAAAAGATCATCWGTCCCTTAAACATCTCCCGGAATAGCCAAAGAGGAAAAAAAATTAAAGAACAAAAGCTCCCTCTGAATTTTTTACTCATCCAATCACCCAAATTAGTCATTGTTAAAGAAAAGTGTGCAGCTTGGTGTGACCAGGCAGGGCACTCTGGCTCCATGATTTACCCTGCCTTGCCTATATATCCAGTGTGCTCGGGTGTGGAATTATGCTCTGTCCTCAGGTGCCTGCCACACTTAAYGCTGTGTAATCACTCTGAATTCAGGATGAATGTCAACTACAACAGAAAACTATTTCCAAGCATCTGTAGGTCTAGTTTAGGCCTTTTAGGATCAAACTTTCATCTCCAGTATAAATCCACTGAAGGAAAGAGTTTATATTTCACGCCTCTTGAAAGCAGAACCTAGTGCTAAGTGTTGTCTTCAAGCACTACCACTGCACCTGTGGCCTTCTATGTATTCGTACATGCTTTTGGTGACACCCTTAAGCTAACAAGGCTTAAGTCATGGCTGTGTGGAAAAGGCAGGAATGAAGGAAGTGCCAAACTCTAGGGTGTTCTTGCAAGCAATGAGGACTAGTGTTTGGGAGGCACCAGTTCATAAGTTGGGGTTCCCCCCTTGCCCAACTGTGCCACTGGCTTGCTGTAAAATCCTTTGCAAATCACTCACCTTCTCTAGAGGTTCAGTTTAGCTTTTGTACAGCAGGAACAATGATTCCTTTCAGCTCTGCCTCCACAGTGGTGATTGCACGGGGATAACGAGCAGTAATGCAGCCTTTAGGGAGCTGAAGCTGAAGCCACTCTAGCGAGTGTTTTGTGCTGGGAGAAGAATGGATCCTTAAAATATTTAATCAACAATCGCTGGGTATATATACCCCTCTTCTGGATTAAATACTCTTACTGATTTAGAGCTCTATTATGTCTTTCCGTCTTTTGTTTATCTCATGTTCTCATCAATTGGGGCTTCACTTTAGACCATGATAAAGCACTTTAACCATGCTTTTACTGGCTATAGTTGTTAGGAAATCTTCTGCGTGCTTTTTACCTTTTTAAAATATTGATTCTATTCTCACTTTCTGAACTATCTTGACTTTTTTTTTAAGGGAGGCAATAATGAATTTCCATATGGTTTATACCTTGTAAAAAGATTATCTCCATTTGCTCTTTTTAGAAACTTTTCTGAAGGGAAGGCACTGTCCCAATGCACAGAAGCAATTTTTCTTTTCAATGGATCCTGTGACTCAAATCTAAACCTTTGCTCTCAGAGGAACACTTTTTAAATGTTTACTTACTGCTTGATTCCTGATAGGCAGTCTGGAAAAAAAAACAGATGAGGTGTTACTCCTGAAAGTTACACTGCTTTATATTGTTTGAAAGGCAGAGATTGAACTGATTTGTCTAGCAGCTTGCCTTTTCTCAGCTGGGGGAAAAAGTTCCTTTTTAGCTCAGGCTTTTATCAACAGTCCAGTAAAAGTGTTTTTTATATATACATTAAAAAAATCATACAACATATATATAAAGCCTTTTATCTTGATGGCTCCAAAGTAGTTGACAAATTTGTCAAGTAATTTGTCAGCTACTTTCCTGAAAAGTTATCTCTTACTCYGGAAAGGTGTCATGGAGGTATTTGTATGTTAGGTGAAATTATTCTTGCTACTAATAGCTTTGAAATAACAATCAGACATGCAATGCATGCATTTAAAAAATTTAATCTTAAGAATTCTAGAAATATTTTTCCTAGTCCTTTTTCCTAGCTGGAGCAGATTGTTGTGTATGGGCAAAACCTGAGTAAACTAAGTGGATGTCTGCTCCTCTCTGGTACCCATCCCAGGCTTGGAGAGACGCCTTTGTGCAATGGGTGAGCTGCCTTCTAGGGGCCCCGCGAAGTTCCTCACAGCAATATCCTGTTTACCTCATTGGTGGCACCATGACTTCCATGGCCACTATTTCTATATAAGCCCTATATATGAGCAGTGTTTGCCTCTTCTGGAAGGGCTCTGGATACACATCCCACATACATACACACTCTGCATCTGTGAGGCTTCATCAGAGGATCCTCTTGGCTCCTGAACCTCTCCCCTGGGCACATTGTTGGCTACCTTGAGAGCAAACAGTTGTAGGTGACTGAGGGTTTTGTGATGGGATCCATAGCAGGAGTGTGTTAATGGAGTCAAGTGCTATTTATTGGCTCCAGTGGATTTCACTGCGCCCTTGGCGCGTTCACGCTTCCTGCATGAAACTTGGCTGGAGGAGTCAGAACTGCAAGACATCATCCCAAATTCCAGCTGGGATGCGTAACTTGGCTACATGACACTCTCCCCTCTTTGCCCCCCCTTACTATTTCCCATGTTAAATAGTTTCTCAGGACTCAAAGGAGAAGGAGGAAATAATCTCCCGGCCAATGATTCTCATAAGTAGAAAAATTGCATAAATAAATTAGCAATGATTAATAGTAAGAAATTGTCACTTCTCTCACTTGCCTAGAAGTTGTAGCTTGCTGAAATGACAGTTTTGGTGTTGGGGTGTTGGGATGCAGAGAGTGAGTGATGGGGGTAGGGATTTATTTTATATATACATTTTCAAATTGAAAAAAAAGGGTGATTTATTTGCTTTTGCTGTAGCCTGCTCAAAATTTTCAGTTTTACATTAATAGCTATGGGAACAGCAGTTCTTACTGCCATATACTTTAGCTATTAACATTGTGTATGGTTTGACAGTACATCTCTTAATTTATTTTTTATTCCYTTGCAATCATAAAATATGTATCAGCCTTCCTTTCTAATCTCCTTTGGCATGTCCAGCTAGTTATTTTGTTTCTTTCCTCCTTTTGAATTTGATTTTTCTAACAACATATACTTCACCAGGAAAAACAAACCAACTATCTGTTAAACTTCCTTTTAAAAAAATTTAAATTTGATTGAATTCATATTTAATGGAATGATTTCTTCAGGAGCTCCTAACAGCTTTCCACCCCAAATGTTTGCTTCACTGATATTTTAATTGCTGTAATAATCAGCATTCTGAGTACAAGGTCTTTCCTCTAGCTCAGTAAATCCATACTGGCTGAGTAAAGCATGTCTGTGATTTATGTGCAGATAAACAGCTTTGGATCCCATCCAATCACTTCATCAGTTTTAATTCGGCTGCCTAATCAGTAGCAAACAGGAGGGTTGTTTTTTGCTGGTTCGGGGTTTTTTGGGCTTGGGTTGTTGGTTTGGGTTTTTTTTTGTTTTGTTTTGTTTTTTGCATTATTTTGTTTTTAACAGGGTTGGGGTGTTAATAGAGGATTTGGCATGTTCCCCAGAATGGCACAAATAGCTCCCCATTTCTCATCATCTTTGTGTCAAAATCATCTGTAACTTTCTGAGAGAGTTTSTGAGAAGGGGATGAGATGCCAAGCTGTGCCTTTGGGCTTTCGTTGGTATCTAAGGAACCAGGCAGATATGCAGTCTGAGCACTGAGTCTGCTCTTATCTCATGGTTTATAAAGGACATCCCTCAGATGCCTGAGAAAAGTGGAAGGGCTCCTACAGAAGCAGATTTTGTTTACTGTGTGTGTTTAGAGGTTAWTGCCTTCAAAATAATATCCACAGCAATGATGGTACTGCAGTTGCTGTTTCTTACTAGGCAAAGTGGCTTGGAAGGGTTCTGGGAGGAGGAGGTGGCCCTGTGGGGTGCAGCTGTGCAGGGGTGGGACAGTGGAGCCCCCTCCCCGCTCCACACCCTCAGCCTATCTCTCACTGTACAAGTCAGCCACGGGCACAGCGCTCTATAAGCCAGAGGGCTCCAGATGACTCCAGTCTGAGGCTCTTTGAGATTAAGACTCGTGACCACAGTTCCTGACCTCATTTTTGTCTACAATAACCTAAGCAAATGCCTGCTAAGGTTAAAACACTGGACCATTTACATTATCATCTATTTGTGCCATGTGTCCAGGGGTGAAGCATTCTCTGATTTATAAGCAGCSTCTGAAGGATTACAGAGAGCAACCCCATTTTGGACATCAGATCTAGGGCAAGCAATACCATCTGTAATAACAAAGCTTACCTAAAGAGCTTAGCATGGTTTGAGTAGTAAACCATGGCTGTGTGTCAGTGAACCTTGTCAGCTCTCCTGGCTGCCTTCATTTCAGTGTGTAACTCTGCCTGGCCATTTCATTTACACTGGGAAACTGCAAGAGGTATTAGTAGCTCTTCCTCTGTATCTGTTTTTTTTTTCCTGTTTCATGGCAGCACTTGTTATGCAAGCAAGGAGTGGACTTGAGAACACTGTGCTAGGCTGTGTGGCCACCACTGGACGTGTAAGGAGGTAGGTTAATTGGAAGGAGGACACAGCAATGGCAGTGTCCTTTCAGCTCTGTCTTTCACTCTTACCAAGAATCTCTACCAGAGCTGCTCAATTCAAACATCTTGGCTCAGCCYTAATTTCTTGCACACACTCATAGCTGTAGGGGTTTTAAATAGACTTTTGAATCATCATGAAATTCAGAGAATTAGGCTGGGCTGGAGGGAAGGGCAGGAACTGGGTTTGTGGCATTTTGAGATCAGTTCTCTGTGCAGATGTGGATGTCCCAAGGGACCTTGGGTGAGGTGTGTAATCCATCTGCTCTGTTGGATTTYTTTTTTACTTGCAAAATGGCAATAACACCTCTTTGCCTTTGACTGKTGATGAAGAGAGAATGAAACCCATTAATGAAGAGAAGACATTTAGACCCTGTGGTGCTTCTGGTACAGCTCCACCTCCACAACAGCACTCACTGGGATTTTTATCTGCAGTGCTTGAAGAGTTTTCAAAAATTATTTTGTGGTGTGTGTGAAGGGGAAAGTTGGGCCATTTTACTATTACTTTCATATTATGCTGCTTCCTTTTAATTCATGACAACCCTGTGGAGGGACTACCAGTCTTGGGATTCTCCTRGCTTTGACTGAGCGCAATCTATACGTTTGGTTCTCTTAAACTCGACAGGCACTCCAAGCATTCCTGTTAAAATTATTGGGAAATGAACTTCAAGAGTCCTGAAAGATGAAGACTATCCCATCTGTCCATCTGGTGCTTTAATAGAGAGATGAGAAAGTTTTGCTGTAAACTGAGAGGGAATTCAAATGWCTGAGAAGAAATTTTGAGAGAAGGCTCAGTGTCTTGCAGATCAAAAGGTTCATTTAGGGCATCCTCTATTCTCTAGCCAAAGGGGAGCTATTATGTTTAGAGAGGCAGTGTGCAGACCRGAATTCTTCTGGTGATGAAACCTAGAGTTTGTGCTGTCCAGTGGCTTACTGTATAGAAAAGACTACCTATCTATCCTGGAGATTTGAGCTAACAGATGGATCTTGTTTTCATACAAGCTGGTGTGCTGGGCTCTGAGCTGCCTCCTGGGATATCACTGAAGAAGCATTTCCACTGTCACCATTTYAAAGAGCAGGAGTTAGCTGACAATGAAGATGGAGTCCTTTCTGTGGGTGCTCTGTCACCTCTGGGTTCCTTTGGGTGTCCTACCTTCAGCATTCGGCCCTGGCAGAACAGCTGCAGAAATGTTCTCAGCTTCATCCTTTTCCTATGGTTTCTTCCATGAGGAAAAACTGATAGGAGAAGGAAGGAAATGTGAGAGCCTGTATGGATGTTAGTCTTATTATGTTGAAAGAGGGGACTGTGAGAGCCTTTTCTGSTTATGGAAATGTGATGAATGAGGTTTCTTGAAGGAAACAATTGCTTCAGTCCTCTCAGTGAACTGCATGACTGGCTCCTCTGTTTCTGCCGTTTGTTTTTTTTTCAGATGGTGCTACATTCATTATGACTTTCCTTTATTTTTTTTTCCCTATTTTCCATTTTTACCCTCCCTTTCCCTTTTTTCCTTTCACTTTTCCTGATTCATACTATATAGAAGCCATTGTTCAAAAAAGAATTACCAGGATGGTGAGAGGTCTGTCTGTGGCTAAAGTTTGATGGCCTGTCCCTGAGTACAGCACCTTAACCTACAGAAGCCCTCTGGCATTATACAGAGTTTTGACAGCCCTGATACTGRTTTCCCTGGAAAAAGCATTTTGTCTTTTTGCTATCTCTATTCCTTGTCTATGATGTAGCGTTAGCAGCACGTGCTCCTTCTCAGGAGCACAGTGAGGAAAAACCCATCTGGTTTGTGAATGCTCAGACATTGCTCTAATGGAAGCCATGTAAATAACTCGACAAATTATTTCACTGAGATTGTCTGTTGAGCATAATAGGTAGCAGGGTCAGAATTTCTTCACAGTGATTCATTTCTTACTGGCTGAGTGGGATTTGTGCTCACAAGMCATTTCACAGAAATGTCCTCTGATTTTTKCTGTCTCTGTCTTTTCCCTGCCTAYACTTTTAGTTCTTTGATCTCTTGCTGGTGAGCTCCAGGGAGCAGAGACTACCAGGGCAAATGTCTGCACTGTGCTCAATGCAAAGAGTTCAGGCACAGGGTAGGCTTTATGGTGCTGACATAACTAAAGAATAAATTAGTATGAACTAATCCAGAACTTGTTATAATTTGTTGTATTTTTTTGCTTCTTTACTTTCATGATACTGTGATGGAATTGCGGGATTTGGATAAGACATGAAGGCAAAAATAATGAAAATAACCTTTCAGTGCAGATTTCTTGAGCAAATTTGTTCATTCTGAGCTTTGCTTTTGGTATTTCAAAGAGGGGAGTTACGGGCTCACAGTCAGTGTKCAGATCTCTGCCCTGTGAGATTGGGAGCAAATCATGGAGGCTGCRCTCACACATCTTCATCTGGCTGCAGCTCCTGGATTGACTTGAGCAGTTCAAATAATTCTTCACTAACCTGAGTGCATCTGTGTGTAGTTCTACTGGCAGAATGGAAAGTGCAAGGARCTCCAGCAGGAGTGAATGATGAGGCTGGATGATGGGTGCTTGGGGACAGGAATGTCCAAACAGAGCACTGCAGTGAGGATTTAGATATGTGTTCACAGCCTGCATTTCTCACTGGTGCAAATCTCCCACTTGGAAACTGGGACAAGAGTGATTCCTTGTCTTTCTGCAAGGATGAAGCATTTAGGATTATGAAAAGTTCAGACAGGGTTGTGCAATTTCTCAGTCAGATTGATTGTGTTAAAATATTTATTGTTTCCACAAACATTTGCTGCTAGCAAACCTGTGGGTTAGTATTTTGCAGAAAGCAAATAATTGCAGCTGAAGCCAGTTTTGAAGCAACCTTAAGGTGACCATTAAGGAAAATTTTTACACTGCTTTGTGGTTAAACTTAAATGATATTTTTATTGCATTTCATTTCCCAATAATGTCAAAATTCTTCCTCAGCTGGTAGAAGATGTAGTTAGCAATATCCACTGAAGACTMATTTTCTGATGTTTTTACAGGTCACTTAAGATTTTCCCTGGAGCGTGGCTTCGAAAATGACACTTCAGTAATGCAGAAGCTGTAAGTAAATAATAMCATGTTTGCAGCCCTTGTTTAAAAGCCATCTTTACACTCTTTCCAGGGCTTTGTTAGAACTCATCTTTGCTAGACTCTATCTATCTCACAACAAGCTGGCAGGGAAGTCACTGRGWTATGACATGCTTTCAAAGTCGACTRTGCCATTTTAGATGCTTTGCTTTATCAGCTTCTTGTTTAATCTAAGAACTCCAATAATGGTTGCCTAATCTGCAGGAAGGAAGCCCAAGACATCTGTCAGTATTGCAGGCAATGTCACAAGCAGACAAAATTAAAAATACCTCATTAGCATCTATGAGTAGTGAATAAAATGATACATTACCAAAAGTTCTTATGCCTTTGGTTCCCAGGCACAGAACAAAGGCCAAGAACCTTATTTGCTTGTGATACCACCAATTAAAAAGGCCTACTAGAAGCTGAACAAATGAACCCCAGAGGGTGCTGACCTGGTCAGGTATTTGTTGGCCTTTGGTAACTTGATGTCGGAGTTCAGTATCTTAGGAGTCTTATCACAAAGATAAGCTTTTGGCAATTCCTGGTTGTGAATGCTTGAAAATGATGCAGTTTCCTTCTCTTTCTCAACTTTTTCCATATTTTTGAAGGTGAATTATTAAGCTGCTAATTTTGGTATCTCTTTCTGAATTCTGCATTGTTTTTCCTAATCAATTCTCTAAGATCTGCTCAATCTCTATCTGATTCAGTCAGCTACTCAACATCTAAACCTTTTGTAATAAAGAGAGTGCTAATTTTTCAGTTTATTTCAATTGTCTTTCATCAGGTGTTATCATATTACTCAATCATCCGGCATTGGAATTTGTAATTTAATCAATAAAGGAGGCCATTTTTCTCAAGGAGATCAAGACAGAAAGATCTTGAGGAAAATGCACAGTGAAAGGAAGGTGAAGAACAAAAAAAGGGTGATAAGAACTGTGGTGGCATTTAATAGCGGCACACCTTGGTGGCTATACTTGCCTGGCAAGTAGCAAGCAAAAGAGATACCACTACTTTAAAATTAATGGATATAAGGATTTTGTCTGTGCACTCACCTTGCACAATCTAGAGGCAGAATCATGGATAATACTTAAGATGCTATGTCAAGCACCTTGTACCATCTCCAGGGGTTGGCAACCCTGTACATGAGCAGTACTGTTCACACGAGCAGTTTGACATCAACAGAGACACCAAGAGAAGAAACTCTGCTGTGTGAGCTCCCCCAGCCTGTCTGCTCACACAGCTTTCTATTGTGTTGCTGTTGCTTTTTGTTATATGATAACATCTGACGAAAGACAATTGAAATAAACAGAAAAATTAGCACTCTCTTTATTACAAAAGGTTTAGATGTTGAGCAGCTGGCAAGGGCAGAGGAGGGAAGAGCTGCTGCCTCCCTTGATGTGATCACTGAGGGGCTCAAGGCTTTGCAGCACAGGCATGTCCCTGCCCACAGTAAAAGGTGGCTGTGGCCTGTGAACTTTCTCTGTCCTCGCCCCTGGCTTTGCTCGCAGGCATTCTGCTGCCCCAAAGTGGGCATGGTACTGTGCTGTCCTGGCAGGATGAGGGGATGGCTGTTCATTGCCAGCAGTCAGAACTCTCCTGGTTTCCTGCCCTGGCCCTTCTGAGCATTCTTCCTAGTTCTGCTGGAGGTGTGAATATGCCCCAGGGATGAGATTTGTTTTGCATTCAGCCCCTGGAAGACAGCATGGGCCCTTTCCTCGGGCCCTTGACTTCACAGTGAGATGGCCTGGGCAGGTCTCAAGTATCAGGCCTCTGTAGCGTCAGCCATGGTTTTGCTGATAAATTGCTTCTAAGTATTATGGTCTCAACTTGGCAAAGTTTGCAAAACACAAGATGAAAGGTATCAAAACTATTCATTCAGAAAATGTTAATATTTAAAATTACAGTAAATCGTTTGGTGTTTAAGGCATGTCAGAGTGCTCCTTTGGTTATGTGTCTCCCAAGGCCTGGTTGCTAGTGCTGTGGTCACATTTTCTGCAAATCAAACATTGAGCCAGTTATTGAAACACCCATCTTGTGGGATTTTTGGAACATATCTTTTAGTTGAAGCAGGCATGTTGGTAAAGAAAGACTTTATAATACAACATTTTGGAGAATTTTTAATACGTGGTGTGTGGCATTTGTCTTGAAGATTTTAGTACTCCCCTTGAGTGCTGCTCCAGATTGAATAAACAGGTATTTAGAGAGTCTTCAGGTGCTTATTTTCAACCTGCATTGACAAACCTTTCCTGTGGTAATCACATAGTTTCATAAGACAATAAGAGAATCAAGTGTAGAGCTCTACAGCAGATAATCTTACTTCCCCCTCACTTTCCATTCCCAACAACACCCCAGGCACTCTACAGTGAAAGCTGTCACATAATTGGGACAGGGTCTTACCTCAGGATTTATTAAGTAATGAACATCATGGATTGAAGGATGCCTGGAAAAGTGCTGCATGCTGTCCAGGGAGAAGGTGAAGTCACCATCCCTGGAGGTGTTCAAGAAATGACTGGACATGGCACTTAGTGCCATACTCTGGGTGACAAGTTGGAGGTTGGTCAAAGGTTGGACTCGATGATCTTGGAGATCATTTCAAACTAAATGATTCTGTGATTCTGTGTGAATCTGTGAAATGAAATGGAGATGAAATTGAAATGGCTTGGTCCAAAATTCTCAGCCACTCTGCATTCCTGCAGCCCTCTTGAATTCAAGTCCTGCTCCTGTTTTTCACAGCTGTACCAGAAAGTTTTGGACAAGGAATGTGTGGAGTGTGCCAATCAGACAGCTACAAAATCTACAGAACTGCAACTGGATGACAAATCACTCCCTCTGCCCTTGGAAAATATCACAGAAGCCTTTTCTTGTATGAGCAATATTGTAAATATTGTTAATATTTTTTTCATAAACCTGTGTTTAAGTCTATTTTCCAACCATTCAGCAGTGCCAAAGGATTACCAAACATGCACCATATGATTGTTTATGATCCCTGGTTCCTTCTTGTGCGCTCCAAATAATGTCATCCAAGCCAGTGCTGTTCTGCTTGTCATATTTGGCCAAATATGAGAGCAGAGTTTCTCCCACTGAGCAGTTTAATGTGCTGTATTTGAAGACTGACTTTTGGAGCAACCACTCTTTGGCCAAAGCAATCACTGTTTTGCCTAGCCCGGCAGCCTAGGGAACCCAGCTCTAAGAACCTTTCTGATGAGAGCTGTGGTTTAAGATATTTTTCAGGGTTGATTTAGCACTCAAGAGCTCAGAGCTCTGTGGAACTGGAGCATCTTCAAAAGTAAGCAATGGCACATCCAGATTGTCCCTTTGTCCTTCCCACAGTAATGACTTCCTCTTTCTACCTAAAAAAGAGAAAATAATGAATTATACTTTAGTCCTGCTTTACAGTGGTATTTTGCACAAAATTATGCCAGTGTATAGTATGTCCAAAAATATTTACATATATGGTCATTAATTTTTCTCCTCTAATATCCCTTGCTTTTGAGCTGCTAAAACATTTTGAAACTCTTGGTTTGTTTTTTCTGTCCTGCTCCCAGCACCAAATCACCCATTTTAGTGATTCAATGCAGATCAGAAATTTGGAGGGGAAAAAAGGAACATTGCAGCCACTTTTGGCTCATCTCATAAAGGATTTTGGGTTTTGCTCCCACTGATTTTGAATTCAACAGGCTGCAGAAGGACTGGGTGTCATTTAGCTATTAGAGATTTTTGTTTTTCTGATCATTGTGAAGTAGCATCATTAACACAGGCAAATTACCACGCTTCGCTGTGCTGTGTCCATGGTACATTAGAGGCCCTTTTCCATTGGTGAAGCTGAGTCTATTCTCTAAAATCAGGGGACCATTGGCAGTTCTTTGGCAAGTGAGACAGAGGGGCTATTTAATGGGAAGAAGAGTGGTCTAATAAAGGGAAAGAAGTCAAACATGACAAGTGCATGGAAAGACAGCAGAATGTTGGTTTATAAATCACTGCATAATTGGACCAAAATATTTATAATTTTCACAAAGCCAAGGAGGAAGAAGACTGCAGTTTTGGAGTGAATGAGTAACATGATTTTTCCAAAGTGCATTTTAGAAAAATCAAGCACTTTATCCATTTCTCTTCCCAATACAAGTGCTGTGCTTTCAGGCTAATAGAATCTGGTTTGTGTTGCCGAATTTTCTGTTTTGAAACGGTGTGTTGGCTTTTGGTGAAGAAATTTGACTTAAACTTGAACATGTCTGGATTTTACAAATAACTTTTTAGTTTAGTAAGATGAAACCAGCTATCCAGAAGGTAATTGCCAATGGATTTTACAAGTACATAAAAATATATTGCTTTTTCGTGCAACATTTCATCACCCTTTTCAATATTCCTTTTCCTTTCCTTTGCCATCAATGACAAAGCACTGTGATAATTTGTTCTCTCATGCCTTTTCCTGAAAACATTGATCTCTGGCCCTGGTTGTGTATGTGGGTATTGGGGGGGGGGGGGAGGTATTAGGCATGTGCATATGCATCTATTTATTTCTGACTCAGTGTTTATTTCTTGGCCTGGTGTTGTTCAGTGTGTTTAACTTGTGGCCTGAGGAAAAACAGAGCACACAGGCTATAAAAAGTTGTTCTGAAAAGGTTGCTTAAAATGGCACAGGACCCAAGGGCTAATGAGCAATCTCTCAAAGCTAGGTATTAATGCAACTGCTGAAACATTTGGCACAGCAGAGACACCAAAGAAAGCAGCAGCACCTGATTGTTAGCCCCCTGCATCCCTGGGAGTGGACATGTATACTGGAAACTCTCTTGAGGTCCCTCATTATGTCAGCTTTGCCCTGTGGGTGAGGGTGGGGACAGACACCCACTATCCTGCAGTGGCACGGAGCTCTGTGCAAATGAGTTCTGTCTCTGAACAGTGTTGCTCATTTAATCGCCTGTCGCAATATTTTACTTGGAGGAAATTTTAACATGAGGCCCTGCCAACCTCCTCTACCCCTAAATTTCCATCAA